CATTTTTAAACCCGGTTTTCGAGGCACCGGGCGGCTGCTTCAGAAGGACTTATACCGGTCCGCCATCAAACGAACAAACTCCATTTTCTAGATTCCAACACGTGACAATGCCCGTTTTTCTATAGAATTGAGCCGGCTAGATCGCTGACTGCCACCGACCCATATTCTTCGTGCTCTTCAGTCATAAGATTTGTTGTTGCTTCTGTGGCATTCTAATAATTTCATATCCAAATCATTTCACTTCTGACCCGTCCTTATGAAGAACCAACGTATGCTTTACATAATGGATGTGCAATATCTATCCAATGCATAATATCAGAATGTAGTCGTTTTTATATGTTATGTATATAGTTGTTGTGCGTAGCTTACCTGTTGGTGACATTTCAGAAAATTGTATCCTGTTAAATTGCGATTATACAATATCATACATACAAAGCGTCTCACTCGCGGATAACTGACTAAACTATCCTAATCGTTTAGGAAAAGGCACATTATGCCTTCTGAAGCAGCTTTGTTCGATGGAGAACGCTCCAAATACAGACGCAGTGATTTTTAAGCCACGGACCGTCGTAATGCTAAAAGATAGCACAGCGAAAGTGCAGTCGTTTTCACTGTACTCTCTGCACAGTGACACTTGGGCATGCACGATTAAGTAGCCGGATGATTCCTGGTGGTTGATACACGCAATAAATAAGATGACACGAATCAAATGCATAATACATAAGCACTGTACATAAAAATTTATTCTGATATTCAAGCTTTCATAGCGAACTGACATAAATAGGGGAGAAGGAGAGTAACTATCATAACATAAGTACGTCTTGTGTAGGAGAAGTAATGCATGCATATTCCAAAATATCTGCCATGTTTGTGATTTTTTGATACCGTGTAAGGGGTAACCGTTCTTAAGCCATCGTTGACAATGAGCATGAGGTTGGTCTAGTAATCTAGTATTGATGAGAAACGCATGTAGCAGTGCATATGTTCAACTATCATTCCGTGTGTAAATGCCTTCCCAGGCAAATACGTTCAAGTGGCTGAGTTATATACATAACGGATCTACATGCTATGTATCTTATATGCATTACAACTAGTTAATAAGTTACTTAATATGCCATAACTCAGAAACACTTAACATTCTTTCACAAATTCGATACTTCTGCAAGCCCATCATTCAGGCGGTAGTAACTGCACCAACTGCTATCTCTCACATACACGACGACGCTGATTTGGTATGTAATTGGTTGCGCAATCCGTGGATCGATGTCGAATTGTTAATGATGGGTGAAAATGCCGGTCAAGTAAGGGATTATGAGCTTTAAATTCTGTCTAGTACTTAACTCCGCCAGAAATTTCTTCCAATAATGTCCGTGTCACTGTCAGCGGATTTCTTTTACGCATAGCGTTGATTTGATTGTTATTGAGCACCCGTTTTTTGCAAGATTATAGTCGCTTCTGTTATGACAGGCTCGTTGACTAACAGTATACAGACTTATTGATCTGCTAAGTAGGGAATGGTGTATTTGTTATGTCGTGGTATGACGGTTCGTAGTTTTGCTATCGTTAGGCACTACGACCTGTAGGAAATGAGTGTGGGGGTTTTTCCTCGAAAATGGCTCCTTGAATATTTCAACTGGGTGTACAGGTTGATGGCAGTTACTGACTTGTCGTTTTTTTATCATAATTGGAATATAACCCTTTGCACGATATCGGTGCATAAGGTGGGATGTTGTATGTTTCGTTTCAAAGGAAGTATTTTTGTCTGAGTATTGTCATTCGGTTTTTGTAACCTGGCATTTTAGACGAACGAACGATTGACAATCATTCCAGATCAGGCTGACTCTTCGGACGAGCAGGTCAGTACTAGCTCTCCGAACGGACAGGTGTCGACTCCGTTGCCGCAGTCACAGTCCAGCTTGAGGAACATCCTGTCGTCGCCTGCGGTTGTGTCTGGTGCCGCCGCGAATTCGGCGGCCAGTAGCACCAGCGATATGTCCCTGTCACGTTGCCAATTGACGTCCACGCCTACCAGCTTCACGTTTACGCCACCAAACTCTACGGTGTCCGTTCGCAGAAGAGTGTCCGACAAAAGCATGCTATCAATCGCCGCCGACATCACTCGAAACCGTGAGTTCTATGGCAGTCACGACGTCAGGCCTCCATACACGTACGCTTCGCTGATACGTCAGGTACGGTGTTCACAGACACGGAAAGTTCATACGCCCTGTTCGGTTGCATATTCTGAATCAGGCAGC